TCCTCCTCTTCAGCATTCTCTCGGAGGGGAGAGAAAGAGAGCCCACTGCACCTTAGTACTGAAAGAGAGGAGGAGGAGGACGACAAGGAGGAGGAATTAATTTCTGCCCTCTGGGAATAACACACACGGGATCTCAAGAGTTTGAATGAATCTACAAATCTAGCTCTGAAAAGATTAAATAAATAAGAAGGGGGAGGAAGGCGAAGCTGATCAATGTGCATTCGGCAGCAGCGGTCCCTTCTGTTCGCCTTCCTTGGAACGGCCACCGAGGACGCAAAGCAATGCACCCACCTTAAACACTGATAAGATGGAAAATTCAAGCCTTTTATTCAGCTCGTAGCTGAGATTCGTTAGCATTCTGCTAAGTGGCAAAACAACACAAAAAGTTTGTCTAATGAATATGGAAAAAATGCGGGGGTGACTCTTAAGTCATTTCTTCATATCGTTCAGCAGTCGTCAGGAAGTTTGCCATTATCTACAGATAACCTGCTGGGTTTTGGCAAAACATCCAATAAAGCTCCCGGACAATAAAACACAATTACTGCTCCCGAATACAATAAATAAGCGCTACGGATCCAAGTTCAAGAACAATATTCCTGGAAATAAAAGACATGAGGAAGTTCAGCAAAGAGGTGATTGCAAACCCAAAGACTCCAATAATCCACTCTCATTCGCTGGCGTACAGAGGGAAGTCGGTGCGAAGTGGGACCGTGCGAAGGGATCAGAGAAAATGAGCGACTGTATTGACACACGAATTTCCGCACAAAGTCGTGTGCAACTGCTCGGTTCATGTGTCAACAGCATTCATTCCACTTAGTCCCTGCACTCACAACGCTTATCTCGCTTATGATCTCATTTCATCAGTCTGGCCATGTTCCCCAAGAGTCAAGCTGTCACCCAGTGCATCCAATTTAATGATGTGGGAATGAAACGTTAGAGTCGGATATCATTGCGCCTTAGTCTTGAGATTGGCCTTTGGTAAGTCGCATCCAATTACATGGACTCTGCAAATGGTCATTTCTGTTTGCTTTCCAGAAGCAGCTACAAAAAAACTAAACCGCTCTCTACTTCCACAGATCTCTCCGATTAGATTCACACTCGGCCTTGAAGTTTGACCTGCCGGAGAGTCTCCGACCTCCAAGACCTTGCCCAAGACGCACCCGAGTCCCGATCACAAGCCACGAAGCGGTTTACCCACAGCATTATCTTCTATCCTCTTCTTGCCTAAGCTACTCCCACCAGGGCATTGTGGGAAGAGTACAACTGTTGCGAGTGGGTGGCACATCTGTTCCCAGAGACAGCCCATGCCCCGGGGGTCAACCTGCAACACAGCTATAATTTCACATCCTCCTCTAATAATCGCTCTGATATTCCTGTCGAGTTGAAGACAAAGGGTTAGAATAGGGTTGCCTATTGTCTGATCAGAGGCACAGCATTTCTAATAGTGGGTGTATTAAGAGTCATGTTTGTCATGCACCACTCTATCTTTCCATCTGGTGCGGGTTTCTCATGTAACAGGTTATGTGCATTTAAAATATGGAATATGTTAATCGCAACAATCCTCTTGTTAGAAGCACCATATGCGTACTATAACCAACTTAACATGTTTCCGAACTATTTGCACACAATTGCAAATGCTTCGGCTGCATCCACAAAGGCCAGTGGGCGGTGAAGGGAAACAAAGGAGAAACTTTCTTGCAAACTTACAAGCTTTGAATTTGGCCAGTGCAGACCAGCACACGTGCTACCGATAATGCAAATTCTCTTTCGCAAGTGCCCTAAATAGACACACTTCTGCCAAAGAAGTTCTTACTGCGGCACCGGCGCAGATGAGCTGGACCGAGGCTGCCGAGGTAACTTCGATCGGGAGCTGGAGGTGCGGATATGCGTGTGGGTGTTTGTGTGTCCATGAGTTGAGGTGTTAGCGCTGAGGGGGAGCCGGTGGGCTTGGGCAGAAGAGGGCGAGTAGAGAGCGTGGAGGATGAAAGATGGAGTCTAATCCTCCACATGTGGCTGCTTTTTCTTTTTTTTCTTTTTTTTTAAAGGAAAGCCAACTGGAGCCATTCTTTGGACTGTAGGCCAAGGGCTCCAGGAAAGCATTGCCCCGAGCCAAAGCACACAGTGTGAAATGAGAAGCTAAAGCTTGAATGTGCTTTTGTTTATCAGAAAAACGCACTCTAAGTGGGATTGGCAGTATAAGGTCCAAACTCCATAAGTCATATAGACTGGCATGGGCCGGAAATGGGAATGTTGCAGGAGGGAGGTTTCAGGCACGAATAAGGCTTGCCGAGCCACTGGCAGCCCCTCAGCCAGTCTTGCTCGCTCCCTAATCTTCACTCCAGCACAAAGGAGGATCAGCTGGGTCAATCTAAAGTAAGAAAATGTGGTCACAAGTTGAGTTGGGGAAAAATCTACAGCTATGTCGCACACGGATGCTGAATTGCGAAAGGCCCCTACAAAGCCTCCAGAACTGGGCCAAGGACCGATCAATCTCAAACAATAGCTGCGTTCCTGCACTCACAGAGTGACGGGATTCCGATGCGGTGTTCACATTCACATCAAGCGGCTTCTGAGGCCCGAACAGAAGCGCAAAGTCAAAAGAAAGTTAGCGGCTTACAAATCGGCCACTCGGCACAGAGTGTTACGCATTATTTTCAACAAAATGCTTTGGGTATGTCAAATTGAAATACTTTTAGGATTGCAGATGGAGTGCCAGGGAAGCTAAAGGAAATGATGCACGGTTGGTAATGCTTTAAAGGGACTGCACGCCTCCGCGTTTGAAGCAATGCTGCATCCGAAAAATGGAGACACTTTAATGCATCTGTTTTGTTTGCAGAATGCGCATAAAGGTGGTGCTAAAATACTTTTTCTTTTTCAACTTTAACTTATGAGTAAACCATTTATAGGTTAATCCCTCTGAAATGTGTAGACCTGTGGCTCTGTTTGAGTCAGCCTGAGTTTGGAGCATCTCATATTATTTGTTCGACCAGTAAAACGGCAAGTCACAAATATTATTTAGCTTAGCAAGTCGATATCAAATGACACCAAGAGAGGTGGACCAAGAGAGGGGGCACCAGAGGAGGTTACCGTCAACCAGTATAAGGGAACACTGAACTGATTGGAGCATCTTCAAACAGATTGTTGATTTGTCATTCATCGGCCCTCCGAAGGATCTGGATTTTTAAATGAGTCTGTGAAAACAAATCAGACGCACACACTCTCAATGCATGCCTCTCAATGCACCGTTCCATGAAGAGTAGCGGGGCACACCAACAGATGTATGTCTAGACATCGATCTGCATCGCATCAGGGAGAAAGCAGAAAAAGTGTTGTTAGACGCTGATCTCTGGTGCCAGCTGCTTGTTTAAATTGCCTTGTTTTACAAACAAACTGACTCTTAGAACTTTCTCACAGTTAAATATGAGGGAAGAACGCAGCGGCTGACACGTACAAAGAGACTCTAAATTGGAAGGCAATGGAATGTGATGCGTTTCGTACAAAAAAGCTGAACAGAAAGAACCGCTTAAATGCAATATTCCCCGTTTGTAGGCAAGAAAGCATGAAACGCAGACAAGGTCACTGCTGTTCAATGCTGCATTACAGGAAAGTGTATGTGCTACAGAACTCAAAAACGTAAGAAATGTAAACAAATGCTACAGCTAATGGAAGTAAAAAAGAAAATAATTCTAGAACAGAATGCTATGAAAAGAAACAAGGTGCTTTAAAAATTTCAGGCTTTATAGGCTAATTAACAGAAATCTAATGAGCCAATTACGGTGAACTGATGAGAGAAGTTTGATGAAAGGAGAAAAAGTGCAGGGGACTGCTGAGAAAAATATGGAAATACTTTAGGTTACATGATGAAAGATAAATGAGTGTTTCAAATTGACAAGGGTGATTAAAAGCAAAGCCAAGCAAAATGAAATGACATTAACTGGATATAATCAGGCAAATCTAGTCTCTGTTTTAATGACAATATGAAGTTACAATTCGGTAAAGATCTAATACCAAATTACTAAAATGAAAAGTACTAATGTGTTATTCTAGACTAATCGAATGTCTTTATGCTGTAGTGTGAATTTCAGAAGTTTTGCAGTCTGCTGGACACCAGCAAGGTGCTTTATATGTGACCATGACTATTTCTATATGCAAATCACCTTGTATCTTAAACTTCCAGGCTACTTATGCAATCAAGAAGCTAAAACACAGGTTAAAAATATTACTTATGAGCCTAAGTTAAAATGCCTCAGGCCACACTGGTTGTTAAAAAAAAGGTGTAATGATTCTGATTAACACTAAGCCTCGTCAAACTATTTTCGTGCTAAGTAACAGCAAATACAAAAAAAATATATATTTTTTTTGACATGATATTTAGCAATAAAAATAAAATAACTTGCTAATTTGTGCTTCACTCAATAAAATGCTTATAAACTTTTTGGGAGTCATTCAGGTTCAATAATTAGATAAATGATCATCTGTTTCTAAAATAAATCATAATGTTTTGCAATTATAATTCTCTTTCTCCTTTTTTAAAAACTATATTCCAATACAATATAAACACATATACAACATATAGCCATTTATCCAAAGTACATAAAACAGACTCAGGTCATTCAGGTAAAATAATTAGATAATTATTTGTTAAAAATGTTTTGCAATTATTATTAACTTTCTCCTTTTAAAAGATACATATTTGAACTATACTCCCAATAAGTTTTTCCTACAGCATTCCTAATTTCCTACACTTTCTAACCATGCATTTTGCCATAGTCTTTCCTGTTATTCATGACTAAATGATAAGGATTGTTTAAAAATATGCATATTTTCATAGTTTTTTCTTCCATTTCTAAGGAATGTGATGTTCAATTTCCAGTTAATTGAATTCACAAACTGGTATCATGCAAGATTTACTCTTAACAAAGAATACAGTAAATATGAATTATACTCAGTGCAAAGCAAAACTATGTTTATTTACTGGTAGCAACACTCGATGTGCCGTACATACTGTATAAAAGGGAGGCGCACACATATGTGAGGTGTCATGCATTGAGTGGCTTGCTGGCCAGTTGTGTGCTGGGACGCCTCCAGCTCTCTCCAGCTCAGTGCATCTTTTCCCAGCAGGAGGCTGGCCATGCGGGGAGCTTCGGCCTGGGGCAAGACTCTGTGTCAGCAGATAGTGCAGAGGGGTGGGGGGGCGCGCAGGCCGCGGGGAAGATTCAGGAGTGCCGGCCTTCGCCAAGACCCACACTCTCTTGGCATTTTGGCAGGGTGGAGCGGCACAATAAAATGATCCAATTTAAGCTGGTTTAGGAGCGCCTGAGAATATTCAAATATTTTTTTTTTCCCCGCTCTAACGATCGCTGCAGATCCGTGTTCCTGCAAGCCTCAGAGAGTCCGTGTAGGTAGCCAGTTGGCGGAGATGTTCTGACCGACGGTCCCTTTGGTCTTGTTTCGACCTGTGTGTTTGACTTCTCTGACCCGGTTACCTTCGCTGTTGTTATCTCGCTCCTGATATTCAACACAACGCCTGAAGACAATCCAAAATAAATGGAGTGTTTTGGGACTGCTAGGAGGAGAGAAGAAGAAACTGCCTGTGTTATTCAGTTTACAAGCACATAAATAACAGAGAGGTGGAGTCTAGGTCTAGCGTGTATGTCAGCTATTTTACAATGACTTTTTAAAACAAAAGTTCGGGGTCAGCAAGTTGTTTTTGAAAGAAGTCTCTTATGATTAAAAATACAGTAAAAAACAATAATACTGTAAAAATAATATTACAATTTAAAACCGCAGCTTTTCAGCAGCCATTACTCCAGTCTTCAGTGTCACATGATCCTTCACCCTGGAGCACAAAACCAGTCTTAAGTCGCTGGGGTATATTTGTACCAACAGCCAAAAAAACATTGTATGGGTCAAAATTATCGATTTTTCTTTTATGCCAAAAATAATTAGAATATTAAGTAAAGATCATGTTCCATGAAGATATTTTGTACATTTTCTACCGTAAATACATAAAAACTTCATTTTTGATTAGTAATATGCATTGCTAACAACTTCATTTGGACAAATTTAAAGGCTATTTTCTCAGTATTTTGATTTTTTTTGCACCCTCAGATTCCAGATTTTAAAGATCATGTTCCATGAAAATATTTAGTAAATTTCATACTGTAAATATATTAAAACGTAATTTTTGATTAGTAATATGCATTGCTAAGAACTTCATTTGGACCACTTTAAAGGCGATTTTCTCAATATTTAGATTTTTTTTGCACCTTCAGATTCCAGATTTTCAAATATTTGTATCTCGGCCAAATATTGTCCTATCCTAACAAACCATACATCAATGGAAAGATTATTTATGATGTATAAATCTCAATTTAAAAAAATTGACCCTTATGACTGGTTTTGTGGTCCAGGGTCACATATGATATCAATATGCTCATTTGTTACTCAAGAAACATTTCTTATTATCAATGTTGATAACAGTTGTGCTAACAGCATTTATTTGAAAAAAATTTTATTGTCATATTATAATGTCTTTACTGTCACTTTTGATCAATTTAAGGCATCCTTACTAAATAAAAGTATTAAATACATTTTTTTTTAAATCGTACAGACACTAAATCTTTCTAATATTTCATGAAGTATATATTTATTTAAATAAATCATTATATCAGTTATATTATATAGTTATTTAACTATATGAGAAAATATACCATATTTATAGTTATTATATATTTATTTATATATTATTTGCTGGAAACTGAACCCAAAAATGTTTTATATATTGGATAAATATTGGATAATTCACTGAATTAAATATTTTTTGTTGTATTATTTCTTCTTTTTCAATGTAGAACTTGATGGCCGAAGAAAAAAACAAGTTTATATGAATGCAAAAACAATACACACACACACACACACACATATCAAGTTTCACCTTAAAAAAGGGGGGAATCATTAATTCAGTGGATTACCCAAACAGGCATCATATTATATATCATTTATCCAGTATATTAATCCATTTTTGGGTTACATTTTCAGCAAAAATAACTGTAATGTGATATATACCGGTACCATGGTATAAAATTAATCTTTATGTGATATATGATTTGTCATACCGCCCACCCCACAGCATTCATACATAAAAGGCTAAGTGAACACAGAACGGCTCTCGCAGTGAAGGCCTCTCATTTCTTGTGTGTTTTGTCAGTTAACCTCCTTCCATAATATTCCACCGATTTAATCCACTCCATAAATGACTAATGCCCAGTGTGCTGTACACTTTGACATTATTGATGTTGATGATGATGAGGATCAGTGTAATAATTGCCTTTAATGCGGTTATTGCTATTACTGTTATTATTACTGCTAATGAAGGAAATGCTGGCCCACATCGCCTCAGCAGAAATTTCACCATGGAAATAAATGAAAAAATGTCTTTATTGGATTACACTAAAAGCAATTCCAAATAAATGGGCCTTGAATATGTCTGTGAGATGAAGATCACAAACATGTAATTTCATTGTGCTGGGAGCAGGGGCATACAACTCAGCAAGACGCAATGAGACGGTTCACTTCAATCCGAGGCTGCGTCCGCATGCATGATCACACACATACGCCACAAGGTGCGGCGTTTCTGTCGTCTCCACGTGCATGTGGAGTTAGCGTGTTGTCAATGATAAAAAGCACTTGATGAGTTGAATAACCCTTAGCAGATGATGCTTATTTGACAGTGACGGAAAAGCTCATAAGGAACAAGATTAGAACAAGTTTGGATACGCTGATAGGACTCGATTGATGTATGAGCTTTATTTCTAGCTCTATAAAACTCATGTTGTCTAATTTATTGCTGTTCACAGGTGCTCTATGGCACTCATTTTAGTTGTGTTAGTCATTTCACTTATAAAGAAGAGCATCTGAGCCCCTAGCTATCGCAGTCGTAACAAAAATTGAGTTCTGGGGGTTAGAAATAACCAATCTGACATAAATGAAGATGATAAATTAGGAGGAAAAAGGACAGGCTTTCTGAAGAGTTAACTATATGATCAGGTTATTTATAATGAATGCAACAAATCAAAAGTTTTTACTGCAGATTTATGCAACTTTTTGGACAATTATCTGTACTTCTCATGTGAAAAATAAAGAGACAATTCAGTGGAATAAGACAACATTTTCATTCTTGGATATATTTTCTTGATTAACTGTTAAAAGACTAGCTCCTCCCATTAAAAACAAAAAACAAAACACAAAACACACAAAAAAAAACAAAAAAAACAGCCATTTCAATCATTCTATTTATTTATCTATCCATCTAAGACTTGACAAACTTTGCTTTTCTGGTTAAAATACAGTTGAATTTAAATATGGATACAAGTAGAAATTTCAATTTATTTGAATTCTAATTCCTTACATTCAAATTCAATTTAGATTAGGTATTATTAAGATGGGGTTTTTTTGTTTTGTTTTGTTTTTTTGGTGCTCGACTAAGACAGCATTTTAGTGCCACATAAAAATATTAGATTATGAAAATAAAGTCATATTATTTTGAGAATATAGTAACAATTTTGAGAATAAAGTTGCATTACAGTGAGATTAAAATAGAAATATTTTTGAAATTAAAGTCTAAATTACAAGAACAAAGACAGCAATATGAGAATATTGTGAGAATAAAATTAACATTTCAAGAAAAACATTATTGTGAAAAACAATGCTTCAGTAGCTTCTATGTGAGCAATGGATGTGATTTCATCAAATCCTACTTTAGAATAGGATTTAGCAATAAGAAATCTAAAATGGCAACCAGAATCCTCCGCTTAATTCTTTAGTTAATCATTTTAATTAATAAACTTTTACGCCACACTACTTGACAGACTTGGTCACTATGACCTTTGACACAGAAAAAAAAGCTTAAAAACAACACACAGGTTTGGAAAGATGAGTAAATGATGACAGAAGTTACATATCTGGGTGAATTATTCTTATTAATCAATAGTCGACAGGCTAAGCTGAATGAACCGGGGCTCTACTGCTGTTAATGTACAGTACAGATGTGTTCTTCCATCAGCTCTGTCAATTTATAAATCATTACCGTACCGCACATAGTTATTTTTCCCACTCATCTTAAGAGACAGCAGAAAACTTGAAAGTTGAATAGCAAGGATTAATTTACAATGAAAACTCAGCAAATAGCAGCATGGGAACAACACAAAGGTCACACAGAAGACATAAAAATAGAGAAGAAAAAGAGCTACTGCACAAAACATAGACAGTCAAACGCAACAAGAGCCATAATAAATCACCCCTGCACACATTCACACATGTTGCATGTACCAGACTATTAATGTTATGAGATGTGCAAACATAACTAAAACTCAAATGCATATTTACTATTTTGAAGATTACAAATGCTAAGTAGGTCTTGTGGCATGACGTTTCTGGCCTGTATCCATGATCCCTAAACTTTTCTTTCCACACAAGTCTGTAAGAACGGACTTTATTTTTGTGTGCAAATTTTGCTTGTAATTAGTTATATTTCATTATATTTTCTCATATGTTGTGCATTATTTCATATAAAGCCCATTGTTTCCAAGCTCACTGAGCAAGCTTTATATAATTCACTCTAATTTCATATACAATTCTTACAGCATTCATAAACAGCATTAGAGTTGGGTCCGAGTCCACCTTTGTCGAGTACGAGTCAAGACCAACCGAGTACAAATTCACCCGAGTGCGTGACAAGTCCGAGTTCATTCAAAATTGGACTCGAGTCCGGACTCGAGTCCGAGTCCAAGTTCGAGTACCCCAACTCTAAACAGCATATGGTGTGGGTGTGTGTGTGGGGGAGGGGGGTTTAAACTGAAAACACTGCTAGCCATTTGACATTTAAGAAATTATATTACACAGGCTTGTTCACCTATTACCATAATCATTTAATCAGTTAAAACCTATTAAAAATAAAAAAAATAAAAATAAGGGAAAAAATATGTTTTAAATAATAAATGTTATATCATTTTAAGGGGTCATATGATGCGATTTCAAGTTTTCCTTTCTCTTTGGAGTGTTACAAGCTGTTTGTGAATAGATAAGA